GTATTTTTGAAAGCATTCTTATTTTACAGCATTTTTTCACATCTACCTAAAACTTTTGTACAGTACTGTACCTTGTAGGCCTTTTGCCAAATAACTATCTTGAGGGGCTTGCCTACCAACAAAATGGATGTCATTGTGGGTGTGACTAATTATTAACATCATTTATCAGAAAGCAGATTAGTAAGATGATGTTTCACTATTTCTGTACCTCCTCAGCTTTTTTCTGTTCTGGTGTTCATACTTCCCAGCAGAGTATTAGGTAAATTCATTTCTCAGTTTCTTAAGGATGGTCTAGGGACCAAGTAAATAAATATGCTAATGCTAATTTTCCAGAATTTTCAGTTGAAATCCATACATCTGATAGGTGCCCAGTTTGGGGAAGGCTGTACTAGAGGCTAGCAGTTTTCAGCAGGTCAAGCACTTATTTTAGTTCAACAGCCTCCCATAAACTGGATGACAACCATGTCAGGTCCTGGGTATCATTCTTGCATGATGGACTGGTCCTATAACAGATTCCTTTTGAAATGTTGTGAGATTGCTAATCTCGTCTGATTTCTCTAATCTCATAAGAATGCAGAATCTTGTGAAATCTTGCAAAGGATTTTTCCATTTTTAAAAATAATTCGAATTTAATTTTGGAGTTTTGTGTGCTATATTTAGAGATGTAAGATATTTTTGAGCTCTTTTGCTGGTCTCTGCTATAAATCAACTAAAAGTACAACTCATTGTTAGAAAGGAAAGGTGTGTATTATACATTTGTGTACGTGTAACCTTTTTTCCTATTCTCATCAGTCCCCTGTGCCTCTTCCACAGTATTCCATCAGATTTGCCATAAGTGCATCCACCCCCTATTTTTAATTGTTCTTCCAGTGTCAACCATTTGTTAGGCCATTGACAGTGCTCTGCTATTGCTTGTTATCCCCTTTATTTTTCTTTCTTTCTGAGCTTTCGCTAACTTAATGGTAGGTTACTCCAAGCATACTGTTTCTTGTTTCTTTCTCTTGTCTCTGAATATTGTATCTTGTCTTTGATTATTGTCTGTTTCTGTTGCTGATTTTGCTGCATGATTGTAGGCATTCTTCTCTTTAAAATCAGAAGTAGAATATAACTTGTTTTCTATTATAGAAACACATCAAGAAAAAGAAATAGAAGTGAGCTTAATTTTCACCCTTACTAATTAAGATTAATGATAATTCTGGTGATGATTTATAGTTTATTGTATCTGGCCAATGTGAAAAGAATCATTGGAAAAATCATGTGCAAGGATGGTCCCATTAAAAAAAGCATGTTGCTTTTCTTTTCTGCTTGATACAATACTGCTACTTAATTAATACAGTTCAAATAAATGGTTTCAGGAAGACAGATGGGGTCTGACTCCTGTTCTTAAAAATTTGGGTCTTTTATTTGAACTTTGGATCTAACCTTCGATTGTGTATGCAGATATGGAGTTGTTGTCTTGGTTTCTATAATTAAGAAACAGAATTTGAAGAAATTTCATAGCAGTCTTTGACATGATAAATAGAATTGCAGTGTTGCAATTTAAAATAGAAATAATACATAATTATTTATAAGCATCTTCTAGGTGAATAATACGTTGCTAATCATCAAATTGGTATAACTTCCTTTTGACTTATACTTGTATCATACTATCACCATAGAATTGTATTCATCATCTTGTTCAGTGAATTTTCAATGGATACTTTAAATAAATTATCAAAACTATCCATTCCATATATTAACTATTGAAACAAGAAAAAAGATTTTAACAATTACACTTTAAAACGAATATCTTATTTTAAATATTTTGTTTATGGCATTTCTGTTGTTAGCTGTCCCTTGCCAGAACATTTTATGTACATTTTATTCATGTCTTGTCATCTTTTGTTAATTGTCTGGTTTTGCACCTCCCATTTGTTTAATATGCAGAAATGTAGACTTGGTAGAATTCTGTTTTAGACAGAAAAACTTACAGACGGCTAGAAGTTATATTGATGATGACTGATTAAATTTGGCATACGTTGATTTGAAAATCAGAGTAGAAACAGTAACTTATCATTCCAGAGGTATTCTCCTGTATGAAACCATGCAAGCTTTGTAAAGGACTCTTAACAGGTAATTAGAAGTATGATGGTATTTATGCTGAGATATTAGCATTTTCGAGGAACAGTAACATGGAAGGATGGTGTTTTTCACTTAAAAGACACAATCTGCATGTTGATGCGTATTTACTAGAGGTGATTTGTTCAAAAGAGGACTAAAAGTAAACTAGAAAATCTGACGCTGATGTTTTGAATATGTGTGGTGTTAAGGAATTTTTTTTTTGTTTTCTTGATGTTAAATATTGTCGTTAAATAAACAGGTAATTAAATTTGGAAACATTTTTCTCCCATTTTCTCAGTTATTTTTATACATTTATCTGTAGGGTTAGGTGCAATTATTGTTGAAAACACAGAGTTGCCTTTTAAAAAATGAAGAGAAAAGAGAAAATAAAGTCAAACAAAAAACTAAGTTTATTTTTGTTTCTTTACTGCTATGATTCTTGCAATTTTAAAACTATAAAACATATAGAACATAATTTATTTTGTACATGAAAATTGACACAAATACAAATGTATTTGTATTCCCCCATCCTGTTATAATTCCCAGCCATACCTTTTTCAAGCAGGCACTGTATTGTTATAATCTCCTTGAGCGAAGAAACCACAGGCATACCCCATAGCACCTTTAGGTTCAAGCAAGTAATTATTTTCCTTGAGGAGGAAAAGAGTTTGTTGTAAATTGGAACATTTTTTTTCACTCTAATTCTTGTTTGTTTGTTTGAATACTCTTAGGGAGTACTTGATGCTATGGTGTTACTAGTCTCTACCATTCTCTTAATTCAAATTTCAGTTTTTTTAAACTGAAACTGCAAGAGTCTTGCTGCTGTATGAGTAACAAACATTCTAAATACTGTATTGTGGATGAGAAGGAAGTCAAGGTGCATATGTTTGAAAAAACATATCAGATTAATGGTTGGTTAATTGAAGTGTGACAAGTAATTTTTATATTAGTCACTACTTAATAATGGGAATATTTCTGTAAAAGAATGTATGCATCACTTACACTGGTTGGAAAAGGGAAGTATTCAGTTAGTGTGAAGCGCTAGAAACTAGGAACAGTATCCATAATGGGAGTTTGAGAAAATACAGTATTTTTTCATGGAGCAGTGTGAATCTACTTCTTTTGATTTGGATTCAAAGAACAGTGTCAGTAACCAAAGGAACTTCCATTTATGCAAGTGAGAGTTGCTGATACTCTTTTCTGGCTGTATTTCATGATGCATAGAGGTTGTTCTGTAGAGTCCTTGAGTTTTCTAGAGCAGCTCTTTGGGAGATGTAAAAGATAGTAGGAATGCCTGGTAGAAATGTGGTATTTGCATTAGTTTTGTAAGTCATATGCAACATTCATTCAAATTGCTTTTTTAAACTTGATTGTATTATAGCAGATGGCAGCACCTAGCCAACCTTTGTTATCTCAAAGAAGCTAAGGTGGGTCAGGCCACTGGGAAATCCTGGAGCCTGGAAAGTTGAAAAAAAAAAATTGGAAGAAGGCAGTGTACTTCTGTATGTTGTCATGAAAACAATACCGACATGTCCATTTAGTGAACAGGAGTCAAGGGAAGCTTTACTCTTTTTTTGATCAAATAATTAGAGAGCTCAAAGCTGTTTAAATTTGAGCAGTTAAAATACAATAGTATAAGCAGTACATTAAAGCAATATAAAATAACATCCATTTAAAAGGGGGGGGGATAAAAGCAGAAACAAAATAGACATTTATACAGGGAGGCCTGGATGAAGAGATAGGTTATTATAAGTGCTTCTCATATTTCAGAGGTGCGGAAGGCACATGAGAATGTGGGCAACTCCTAAAAAAACTGTAGTGATAATTTGCATTCTTTTAATCCCTTCTAATAAGGGATTAATAGTCTGTATTAGAGTTATAATCTGTCCACAGATTCCTGCTAGTGGGAAACATCCTCATGGAGGAGGGTAGAAGTGGTTTCAACTTTCTTCACTCTTCCTTCCTGCCTCTGAAAAAACTGCATTAGAGAGCAAGAGACTCTTTTGAAACAGCATGAAAGAAGGTTTTGAGCTGCACAGAAAGTAGAAATGGGTGAAAAACAAATTTCTACAACTTTTTCTATAGTGAAGAGCATGTGCTGGTCCTTGTTTCCTTCTTTGAACAAAAGAAGACCTTTGTGTGTAGAAAGAACAGTGCAAAATTCAAATGTTTTTAGTGCTCTGTAGCTACAGTGGTACCTTGGGTCACGAACGCTTCTGTTCACGAACAATTCGGGTCACGAACAGCACCGTTTGCAAAATTTTGCTTCCGTTTGCGAACTCCGCATCGGGTGACGAACAGGATCCGCGGCCATTTTCCCTGCTGTGACACGGGGTCGTGGCTTTCTGTAGGGAGGGGGACTCTCCCTCCAAACAGTAACCGCCTCGCCACCCGCCTTCCTGTCCTCCACGCCAGAAGTCGCCTCGAGCAAGGTTAGTGTCCTCTCTCTTCATACTGTACTGTACTTTGTTTCATATTTTTGTGGTTTAAAAAAAAAATACATATGGTTCAGAAAGGATTAAACGTATTTACATTGAACCTTATGGGAAAATTTGATTCGGGTCGCGACCAATGTTGCGGAACAAATTAAGTTCGTGACCCGAGGTACCACTGTATTTCATTTTTTGTGAGCATACGCACACACTTGCATGTACACTGTATTTTCTTTCAAGCAGTCTTAAAAAGATAAAAATGACTCTGTTGAATAAAACTATTTAAACCAGTATTTTACAAAGTATTTTACAACCAGCAGCAATGTGGATGGGCTTAATTTCAGCAGCAGTGGACGTGCCACCAAAGAACCAAAACGATCAAGTTGAAGACAGATCATCCTGGAAAGAATCAATTTTTGTGGTTGCAAAGAGTTCACCCTGACTTGATGATACTTAATCAATTCTAGAAGGAACTTTTTTTTAGTATACTTACTATAGGATATAAAGAGTTGTAACTGAAAAAATAAAAGCATATGTTTTGCTTCCTCTGTGTCCAAGTTAAATCCTAAGCATCTCCAAGTAGGCCTAAACAGACTTCTGTATGTAACCCTAGAGAGTCACTGCCGGACAGTGCATATAAAACAGAATTAGATGGATTACTGGACTTACTTTGTATAAGACAGCTTCTCTGTTATTTATTAAATTTTTGATTTATTCAGCAAACAGATAATTGGCACAAAATAAGTTGTTCAGCATCCACAACCCCAACATTATCTTGGCATGAGTTTTGCTCGATTCTTTAGATCTCACTAATATCTTTAAGGAAAAAATGTTATAAGTTTTGCATAATGTAAATTTTAGAAACAAGTTTAATATTTTCTAAGTTCAAGGACTGAAAAAGATATAATTTCTACAAAGTATATTTGTTTGTAGAAGCACATACATACAGTATACTCAGATAGACCTAGTGTTATGTTAAGCCAGTCTTTCTCAACCTTTTGACCCTGGAGGACCCTTGAAATATTTTTCAGGCCTTGGGAAACTCCTACACATTCAGGCTCAAATATAGGCCAGAAGTTACAAAACTATTATATTCACTTCATGTGTAGGTCTGTATACATGCATTGACAGTGTTCTTAAACTAAAAATAAGGAATGAAACTTACCTCTTTAGTGTGAAACCTGTGCTTGTTTTTTGCTGCACAAATAATTCTGGGCCAAACAAGGTAAGCATACATGGATTTCATCTTTACCTGAAATAAGACAATTTCTGTATTTGCTTTAGATGCTTTTTAAATAAGAAAAAGCTTGCTCACACATGTAAGAAGTTGAAAACTGCAGCAAAATGTTCAG